CTGTATGAAAAGCAAAACTGTTGATGTTTAGGAGTTACTCTCGGAGAATGCTGATTAACACTCTGCAATAAGATTTGAGGAAGGTGCTCCATTACCAGGAAAATTAGATCCTTATTGCCAGACACGGTGATCTGAAAAGCCAGACTTAAACTTTGATGTATTGTAAGAGAACATGGGGTTCAGTTCAAGTTGGCTTTTGCGAGTCCACGACCAGCAGTGTCCTGCTGCTTGAGAAGTGGCTTGTCTGGCGATGCTTGGGAGGGCGTGTGATCCCACTGTTGCTTTTGGCTGTATGCTGGAGGTCCTGATGCTATCAAAACACAGGGCAGCTTTTCCACTGCAGTTTTGAAGAGCATCAAGTAGGAAGCAAAGGAACAAAAAAGTAGTTGCTTTCAAAGCTGCTGGTGAGAGAAGCTCACAGGAGACCAAAGTTTATTTACTTTATTTGTGTACAGAAGTCTATGAACAAATAAATGCTTTTAGAGAGGCAGTCTAAACTTGAAAGTGTAATAGCTTTATTATTACTGAGGCTAATAGCTCCACTTCTTGAATTGTTTATGACTATCTCTTCTCTTCCCTCACACTTCTGCTGCAAAAGGCAGCAGGTTTTTTGTGTTGTATGTTCGTAAATCTTGGTTGCTTTTAAATAACATCAGCAATGCTTGAGTTGGGAAGACAATAAATGGCTTCTTATGATGGATGGTATGGTTCTCGATAGTCAAGTTAGTCCAAAGAGCTCTGTCTTGGGAAGTATGAAAATCCTTATGTAGTATGAAAATTCCATCACTGGAGTCTGGGAGAGTTGGGACCAGTCACGACATTACTGGGAAAGGCTTAAGAAGGAAAAGGCCCAATCTGCCAATAAGGTCCCACATCAACAAGCAGTGGCAAGAAATGGGCCTGTGTTAGCATCCGTATCACAAGGCAGAATTGAAGTCATACCATCAGGCCAGTGTATTTCAAATAAAATTGGCCAGCCCTCTCAATACAAGGGATGAAGTTGCACAATGCAATTAGGAGAAAGGCCTGTCGATGCTTGATGAGAGAGTCAAGCTCCCAGGGGGTTTCCAGCAAGTCAGAAAATACACACCTCTGCAGTCTGGAGACTGGATTCATGCCAGTCAGCAAGCATGTCTTTCTATTTTTAAATTGTATCTTCTGTTAGATTAGATTTTTGTCAATTGGTCAATACTAACATGCTTAAAATATTCTCAACTTTTGACCTTTTTTGTGTTGATTAAGCACAAATAGGAAGTGGAGGTAAAATCAGCCTAGCTGTGCTGAAGCTAAATGCACTGCCTCACACAAATGGGGTGTCACCAAAGTATTGAAAACCCTGTAATAAAGAAACTTTGTGACACTGTTCCTGTTTGTACTCAAACAGGTGTGTAAGCGGTAGTGCCTGGGTTTCAACCAGAGGATCTGGTTGTCTCCTGGAGTCCACCAGGTTTCAGCCAGTAGAAGCCCCAGTAGTTACTAGTGAATTTGGAGATAACTTGCAGGTGTCTGAGTTGCCAAAGCTTTCAGATGTAGTGGTTAGGGTTTCATGGGGTTCTGCTGAGAGAACTGTGAGTGATGGCGTTGATGGTGTCAGTGGCTGCCAAGGCAAAGCGTATCATGTAATGGTGAAAAGAGGTGGCCTTTGGTGAAGGAACTGGCTGTGGCTAAACATGAAACAAATTTAAATGCCAAATGAGGTGTGTCTTTTCATCGTAGCTCTGGTGATGGATCACTGACAAATTCCTTTTTTGCATAGGAGCCAAAGGGTAAAGATGGGAGTGAATACTTTGACAGCAGAATGGACAACTTCACTACAGACTCACTGGCACCATCGCAGCTCTCTGCTTTGTTGTGGTCACCTGGCTCCAGCCACGTCCTGTCCCAGAGAAGCGAGTCCACCAACGTGGTCAGCAGTGATGCGCTGAGGCAGAACATTTATGAAAACTTCATGCGGGAGCTGGAGATGAGCAGGACGAACCTGGAGAACACTGAGACTTCGTCGGAAACAGAGGACTCCAGCGGCGAGTCCCTCAGCTCCTTGGAGCAGCTGGATTTGTTGTATGAGAAAGAGCAAGGAGTGGTGCGCAAGGCAGGGTGGCTGTTCTTCAAACCCCTGGTGACCCTGCAGAAGGAAAAGAAGCTGGAGCTGGTCACACGGCGGAAGTGGAAGCAGTACTGGGTCACACTCAAAGGTAAACCACCACATTGCTCCTTCGACTTGGCAGCAACAGTTTCCATTATGTCTCAGCAACTTTTCACACACGGTGGTTTCTATTAGCGGGTTTAGGGGGATAAGAAATTCACACTTAACTTTACAGAGTCTACCCACACGCTTAAAGTGGAGCACATGGTTAAGCAGCCCAATGAATCAAAGTGGTGCTTGTGTCTTTGGTATTATACATGCAGCCTTGCGTTTCATACCATAGTGGGAATTGTTTTGTCTGACTGTCCAGTTTCTGTACTCATGCAGAATTGAGTCTTTAGAAGACGCTTTTGGATGTTTGGAGGTCAAAGACCAAATTGAACCAAAATTGAGAAAAATACAGAAGTTAAACATCTGTCTCAGGGGGAATAAAAATTTAAGGATCAGGAGAAGGCCCTGGTGCCCAATTCCCTATCACAGGCACACAGTTCCTTGGGCTCTGCTATGAGGTTTACTTAATGTTGGGGTAGGTTAATGTAAAAATTGTTCATTTCCAGTGCTTCAGGTGGCAACATAACAAAGAGGTGAACTCCCCATGGTAGAGCATTTACACAGAAAAGTGCGATTCAGGGCAGAGGAGGCTGAAGACGCAGCAGGAGAAACCCTGCCGTGCCTGAGGCTTAGCTGCTGTGAACCACTCCCAGGGCTCACCAGTCTCCCTCCTTTCCCTGGATGATGTTTCACCTTGCCTTCTCCCTGCAATACCAACCCCTTCTAGCTTTCAGCATGCCCACCTTCCCATTTCCTCAGCTGCTCCTGTTGTGAAACAGCCCCATGGGAGGGCAGTCCACTTAACAGGGGCTGCTGCAAGTGGGCTGCGATGTGATTGCTGTGCTCAGTGCTGCGCTCACAGCGCACGGTGATGGCTCAGAGTAATCGAGCAGGTAGGTGTACTGCAAGAAGTGTATAGGTGTCACGAAGTGTGAGAAGGAAAATAACATCTATTGTGGGGAGGAAGAGGAATTTAATGGGTGAGTTCATAGGCTTTTTTTTTTTTTTTTGAATTGCTTCCAAAGGGTTTGTCTTTCAGTAAATATAATGCTAAGTTAATGAGTAAGGAAATGATCAAACTTAATAATTTCCTAGCATACCTGGGACTGGAGGAGAGACAATAACAACTTTCCCACAGGTTGCCCTTTTCAAAATTTCTGCATGGGTGTGTAGACCTGAAGAAAAGTGAACGGTAAACAGCAAGTGCTGGGAATGTTGTCCTTGATAGTGCCGATTTAAAAGAAGCAAACTTGCTAGAATGTAGCAGTTCTGCCTAATAATTCAGAGACCTGTTATCAAGGGATCAAAATGTAGGTAGTCTTAACAGTTTAAATCACTTATCCTGATCATCAAGTAGCATGATTCATGCTTACAAGCAGTGTATACAAAGGGAAAAATGGTATCTAAATTCCGCCCCTTTATTGTATGTGTTTGCGTTATGGAGTATGAGTAGGAGTTTGACCTGCCTCTTCTAAAATTCAAGTAGTTTGTAAACTATCCTATCAAAACTCTAAACTGAAGTACATTATATAGTAGTAGTTCATGCATTTTGGGGTTAATGATGATCTGGGAAGGAATTTAGGTACTTCGTGCTCAGTTCTTTGCTATATAATTGGCTTATTGGTGACCTTGAACAAGTCACATCCCTTCTTGCTACCTGAATTTCCGCAGCTATAAAAAAAGAGTAATAAAAGTATTTGTGAAAGCTTTATTAACTTCTAATATTATAAGAAGTATTAGATAAAATTATTTTTACTTTGGATGGGTGATGTGCTGCATTCATGATGAAGAATCTCTTCCACTTTGTTAGCTGTTTTAAAAATACATTCCTCATTTCCTTGATCTTGTACCTTTATTGTCGTGTGGAGACTTCTGATGCAAAAATAAACTTGCCTGTCTGGATATCAAGGGGAGGTTCTGTTTTCATAATATGCTGTATCAAGATCAAGGTGCTTCCTTTGGATCTCCTTATACAGTGTTTTGAATACATCTGTGTTTAATTTGTTTTCAAAGTTTAAATAGCCAAGATATTTTGAAATATGACTTAAAATAGCCACATATGCAAATGGGGAACAGCATGTTTCTTTGCACTCTGTTGAGATGTGTTTAATTACAAATATGCAGAAGGCTTATAACCATCTGGTTACCTGCCAGACTTCAAAGTATACATGTCCTGAGGCCTCTGCTCTACTTTCAGGGCCACCACGACCTGAGCTTGACTAGTAACCCTTTAACAAGAGGAACTCTCTTTTCCATCTGTCCTGTCTAATTAGTTTATTTTAACAAGGGAAATCGCTTTCCCATTGCCCTCCCTCTTCAGTTCAAGTCTTGATTAAAATACTTGGATGATAATCAGTCCCAGTGGGTCTGTCAGAATTTATGAAACTAGCTGCTTCCAGGGATCACTTGGCTTGACCTGAAGATATACCTGGGGTGCTGTACACCTGAATACACATGGATGCCCGTCAAAATTTTTTATTTATGTACGTATAAACTGTCAGGATGAAAAATGACACATCTTTAGTTACCTTTTTGATCACACATAGGGGAAATATGGGAGTTTAAAATAGAACTTAATTTGCACTTTCCTAACTAAAATGCAGAAGTGGAAGTGGTTGTATAGTCCTGCTGCTGAATAGAAGAGGGTACTTGGTTTTGTTGGGTTAGTTTGTCCTGTTATGTTGAAATGACAACAGAAGTGCCATGCCTAATATGGAGAGTATAACAAACCATAGCCTTCTTTTCCAACTGCAGAGATCTCCAAGTATTTCTGTGTTATAAAGAAGATCAAGTGAGGGCTGCTAAGGGGAAAGGATAGGACCAACTCTGTAGGATTTGCTCTTACCCTAAATACTCAGCCAGATACTCTGGACTGTAATAGGAAAAGGTGCACTTAAGTAGTATAGCGGCATTTCTATTTATTGTATTTCTTCTTTTGAAAACCTTTCAGTCACCAGATGATTTGGTAGTAAGCTGTGATATATATTTCCCTTTTTCTTGTAACTGTTGTACATTCATTGGCACTGGAGAATGTGATGAAATCCATCTGATGGATATAATTTTTCATAGACTTTAGAGTTTGGCTATATGAGGACCAGTGTATTCCACCTCATAACTTTTCACAGCAAATCTGTCCCATAAACTCTAGTAGGCCCAGATTTTCTCTTTATCAGACAGAACAATCCAAAAAACCTTGATTTTTAATACAGCTGTGTAAATGTTAGAGAATTACTAAAATAAAGGTTGTAATCTGTTTTTACCTAACTATTTTAAAAGCATCCACAAAGGAAACATTTTTGTTTTGCAGGTTATGCTATGTCCACTTGATATGCACTTCTTAGGTGTATTTGCGTGTGCATACATACACACAGTGTGTCACACAGAGAAACACCAGCCTGAAAATCAGCAAGTCAAACCGAAATCTCCGTTTTGGTGCTGCCATGTGTTGTGGTGCCTCTTTGATTTGAAGTAAAAACAACAACAAAAAGCAGGCTAGAGAGGTGACAATGCTGTAGCCCTAGCAAACTCAAGCCTTGTATTGGTTAAATGTGAAGTCTGCTACTGAATATGTATAGGGCTTACAGCAGTAATATATTTGTGGATTACTAGGCCCTAATGGACCACTGTGATCATTTAGTCTGACTTGCTATGTAATGGAGCCATAGGTCTTCTTTAAATTAATTCCTGAATGAATTTGAGTGTTAACTTTTGGAGAAGGCTTGCCTTGCTGGAGAATCCACCATCAGCCTCAGATTTTTTTAACTGCTTAGGTTATCCTCAGTTTTCAAAATGTTATCTGGTCTTAGTTCTCCCACGTTAAACATTCAGACAAAGTATGAATTTATCTTGCAAATTTAAAAAAAAAAAAAAAGCACCCAACTCTGTTATTGAACTGCTGTTTCCCAGGGGCGAAAGTGAGGTTTATTTACTTACTTTCTCTGGATGCAGAACTAGCCTAAGAAATTATTGAGAAATCTAGTCTAGTCTGTAAACTAGATTATTTTAGTAGTGCAGTTCAGCCTGTGACCCCTTGAACAGGCAAATCAGCACATCTCCAAGGACAGTGGATTGTAGCATGGGGTAGGAATGAAAGGCTGGCGGGGATGGAGGGGACAAGCCCTTCTTGAGCCAACTTCACTGCCAAAGGCAACATGGCAATGTAATCATACTGCTGGGGACTGGGATCAAGTGTCCTCTGCTGTCCTCCAGAAGTAATTTCTCTTGTTACACTCAGAATTGTCATCATCAAGGATGAAGTTTGTTTTCTGGATGCAAGTTTCATACCTTAGATATTACACTGTCTAGAAGGCTGAACACGCTCAAACTCAGCCCCTTTGAACGGTTTTAAATTATTTAGAATTGTCTAGTTTGCAGGTAGATTTGAGGAAATCCAGTTTAAACTTGAGATGTTTATTCACTGCGTTGTTTGAAGACAAAAGTTTCTGCAAATCTTTTCAATAAATACAAAGATTTCTTAGGTGGCTGTTATGAGAGGGTTCAGTTTAATAAAGAAACACAAAAGCCAGTTTAACTAAGTAGAAATTAATCTTTTCTTCATGCTGTAGCATTTTAATTGGCTGAGTTTATTCATAGAATCACAGAATGGTTTGGGTCAGAAGGCACCTTTAAAGATACCTAATCCAACCCTGCTGCCATGGGCAGGGACATCTTTCACTAGGTCAGGTTACGCAAACCCCATCCAGTCTGATCTTGTTCACTTCATATTGAGGTATCCTGTTTTATTTTTTAAGTCAATGGATGTGTCCCTGTTAGATGTCTGTTCCAACTTCCCACTGGCAAATTCATCATTAACTTTATCTATTCTGCAGTTTAGAAGATCTTCCTTTTCTCTTTATTACAAAAGAGGGGCAGAACTGATGTTCCATGTCACTGAAGGGTGTCAAAATTCACAAAATTCATTTTGTGAATGCTAATTCACAAAAGCATTAATATAAGAGAACTCAAATGGGAGATCCAGAACTTACTTTCTCCTTATGGTTTTTTGTCCCTCTGAACTGCAAAGGTTGTACTCTGCTGTTTTATGACACCTATGGAAGGAACTCGATGGAGCAGAGCAGTTTGCCTCGATATGCCCTGTTTGCAGAAGACAGTATAGTTCAGTCTGTTCCAGAACATCCCAAGAAAGAAAACGTGTTCTGTCTCAGCAATTCTTTTGGAGATGTCTACCTATTTCAGGTAACAGTATGCACACAGAACTTTGTGGTCGTTTAAATTTTAGGATGTGTTTGTGAATATGCACATGCACACATACACATCATGCTTGTGCCTTTGACTTAAAAATAATAGCATATGTAATAGTAATAACACTATACTAGTATAATATTGATTTAAGTGTATGGTATGACTTCAGGTATATGATAACTAACACCAGTTGGCCCAGTTGATTATGGTTCAGACATCAAAAGAACAAAGATCACAAATCTGCAAGACACTTTTGGTACCTGGTTGTTACAAACTTCTAGAAAATCAGCTTTATTACATATTTTTTTTCACCTCTATTAGCATTCCATCCTTACAGAATGGTGTGCTCAACCCTGAATCTGCTGGCCCCAAAGAGAGTTTACTTGAGCAAGATGTTCAAAAAAGAAGGCTAAAAATAATCTAAAGATCTTGGCTGCTTAACTGCACCACTGGAAATGTTAATAATGAACAGTATTGTGTGGAACTGCCTGCATAGAAACATGTTGATTCATAGGTACACTTCTAAATATCTCCAAAGACACTTTGTGCAGGTGTATTCTCTTTACCTTGCTGTCTTCTCTCCACTAACTTGGCATTTTTAAAGTAAGCAAACACCTCTCCTCAAACGTTACATGTAAAATCTTCTCTGTTGCTATGTTACCTGCAGAAGAGGAGGTTTATCTTTGAAACTTGCTGGGTTTTACCTTAATTAATTGGAGGGACGAAGGATACAAGTCACATCTTTCCCCAAAGCTCATGAGCCACTGTTGTGCTCCCAAAGTTCTCAGACCTTGCAGGTCTAAGAAGCAGAAGCTGGAGGCAAGTCATGACAGAGTGCAGGAAAAGCTCACACTTCCTTTATTTGCACAGTTTTAAAGATAAAACCTTATTTCACTCGTTTTGTGATAAAGTGCCTAAGATCTCAGTGAACCTGTCAAGCACTTCATGTCCTAGAGCTGCTGATTTTTATTTTTGTTTTTATCTCTGTCTCTTGTCTGCTCATAATGTTGCGCTGTTGATTTGCTTCACAGGCGACAAGCCAGACGGATCTGGAAAACTGGGTTACTGCCATACATTCAGCCTGTGCTTCCCTCTTTGCGAAGAAGCTTGGGAAAGAGGACACTGTTAGGCTGCTGAAAAATCAAACCAAGAGTCTCTTCCAGAAGATTGACATGGATGGCAAGATGAAAAAGATGGCAGAGTTGCAGCTCTCAATTGTTAGCGATCCAAAAAACAGGAAGGCCATAGAGAATCAGGTACTAGAAACAATATTTTTATAGGAGCATATTTATCATTATTTCTTGCTTTGGGCTCTGACTGTCTGTGCTTTCTAGGCCTGAGAGTAATGGTCTTGGGGGCAGCTGGCACAGTAGTTGCAGTTATTGCTGGTTTTCTACAGCAATCCAGAGCAGCGCAGGAGGTAGGCTCCTCAAAGCTGAGGATCAGACTGATCTGTTTTATGAGCACAAAGCTATTTCTATTCTATTCTGGAAAAATGTAATTAATTTTCACTGTTTTATGATATACTTAGCTGTTAATAATATCTAGCTGTTACACGGCATACCACGGAATATACAGTATTTCTGTGAATAATTTAATTTACTGATGAATTGCAGTAGATGTTTAAGAAATAGGTACTGTTCTGCACCTTAAGACAGGAAGTGAAGAGTACTTTATCCAAATAAAATTGGAGGAAGGACTGAGGCAGACAAAACCATGTGCTTCAGTTGAAATTTAGCCATGACTAGAAGGCCAAGATCCACTAGGCTTCTTAAAAAGCCCCGTAGCAGTCTTAAATGAGAACAAGAAGTCAAGACTGGAGTTTTCCATCCTGGGTGGAAAAGCACTGCCATGAATACCACTGGCAGCCACTGGAGCATTATACCAGTATCAATTAAAAGAAAAGGGGGACACTTAGTCACTAACAGTACTCGCTGGTTGCATGCTGGGAATTTTTTACCTCAGTACAAGCCCAGGCCCATCGCTGCTTAGCTTGGGAGAGCTAACATACTAAAGGCAAGATCTTTGCCCATTGCTGGAGCAGGCAAAATGTTTGCATCCAAACTTGTTTCAATGCTAATTTTGTTTTGTTGCAGCAAGAAATGAGCTGAGTCATCATTTGCCTCCCCCTGGAAATTTGAGTATGGCTTCCGAATGCCTGATGTGTTATTCTGATCATGTTTTCATATTATGGTGGTGGGAATGCCTGAATCTTGGCTAAAGCAGCAGCTTAGCGCTGATGAAGATTCACCACTAAGATTTGTTTTAAAACAAAAACCGGAACAACCGCCCCAAAAATTAGTGTTTATGGCACATACCTTGGGATTTTAGCCAAGCCATGCCTAAGACAAAAAGGATGAGCCACTAGAACTGTTCCTCAGTGAAAAGGGTCACTGTGTTGTCTGTACGGTGGTGCATAGACATCAAGACTTACTCTGCTCTCACTTCTAGCACATGAACCAGGAAACACTCCCGTGATACCTTATGGAAGTATATCTTGAGGTGGTAACATCTTGCCCATGTCTCCAGTTTTGCAGGTGGCAACTGGCAAAAGATGCTTTAATTAGACATGCTTAGTGTTCAGGCAAAGACCTCACTACCCAGGGCCTCTAGTGTAGTAAACTAAAGTTGTCTAGCAGTTTATCGTAATAGGCCTGTGGGCTGAGGTTGCTGTATCTCTTATTTTGTTAGGCCATTAACAGAAAACATCTGAGAATTTGAATTTGTTAACTGGTATTTGAGAGCCCATCCTTACCTGCCTTTCCAGTCAGAGTAGCTATTGCTCTGTCGTGGCTTTAGGCTGCACATTATGGACTCTTGAGTAGCAACTGAATTTTATTTCCTTTGATCCAATACAGCATGATTATGTTTCATTGGTTAGTGGAACACTTTTAGTTTCAGGAATTTGATGCTTATAATATTTAAAATTCTTACTATACTGGTTTGAACTTATCAAAGGGCAAGCTGACTGGTACTGACTTCACTGTTGAGCTCTTGTAGCACACTTCAGTCTGAAGCTATATGAGCAGAGTTCAAAAAGTGTGCAGGTTTGTGTAGGGATTTGTGGTGCAGATGTTAATAAGCCCTTTGAGTGCTCAGGTCTTTGTAATTTATTTCCAGATCACTTTATTTCATGGTCCAGAGCCTAGTGAGGTGGATGGAGGAGGAAAAACATTAAGCATCCTTTTATTGCAGTGGATTTTGAGACCTAGAAGAATATACAGATTTCTAGAGATGTCTAGTGCTTGTAACATGTGATGCACTGCAGAAGAATCCTGGTGTATATTAACTTAATTTACCCCTCCCCCCATTAGATACTGATGCTAGTAGTCAGCTGAAGATAATTCATGATGCCCACTTAATATCTGCTAATCAGATGTTCTGTCCCTGAACAACTGCCACGTTTTCCAGCCCAGTCCCTGGAAGAAGTTGGCTGCATTCTGCTAGAACTGAAATCCATCACTAGGGCTGCAGAAGATTTATTCATGTTAATGTTTTGAGACATTCCTAGACAGAAGATTGAATGAGGGCAAACCAGAGAGACAAAGAGTGAGATGGATCATGTACAAGCACCCATTAGTTAGCAAACAGTAAATTTATAATAAGCCTTTCTCCAGTCTTGATCTCTCTGATCTCTGTAAAATCTCTCCTTATGATTGGTGAAGGTGTGTTGACAAGAGTCACTTCAGAGAAAAGTCAATAGATAACTGGCTTTCCTAATCTTTTGATTTGATGTCTCAGAGATTGGCTTTTGCAAAGGAAAAATCTTGATGTAATTAGTAACCAAGGATTCTTAATATACTTAGTAAGCTAACAATTTTGAAAAAAACATTACTCCTGAGGGAAAAGTTTGCATGTATGTAGCTCAGTTGTTTGGTAACTGTGGTTGTTTAGTTGTCTTTTGCCACTTTGAGCAACAAAAGGAATATAAATTCTGGGTTTGGTTTTGTGTAAATTTGGTGGTGTTTTCAATCATCTGGCAGTTATGATTCCTCCATGCTGAAGTATACTGTATTGCCAATGCTTTAGTTTATAAGCATGCCCTATATCGTGTGCTGGAAAATGCACTGGTGATGTGTTTTGGGAAGTCAGCGGAAATATTGTGATGAACTTCAGAAGGACCATGGTGGGTTTTTACATAGAAAGATGAGGCACAGTCTTAATTTATTTCCACTAGGGGATTATCTTGGAAACTGTGATTTCTATATCCTTTCTCCTTTTCCTTCCTCTTCCTCAAAAAAAACCCCACCCAACCGCAGCTTTCTATTTTCTTTCACATCTGTATTGATTTAAAAGCAATACTTCTCTGCTGAAGACTTAGTAATTCACAGGGCTTTACAAGAAAGCAAAACCTTTTCTTGTTTCAGTTACCATCACCTGAAAGGCATTTGCAGTAAGGAATCCTGGATTTCTAAAATTGCTATAGGTGTTTTAATGTACATACGTTTCTTTTTGGTGTCCACCAAATAGACTGAAGAAGCTTATCTGATACTATCTTTTAAACTTGGTGGATTTGCAGGCTAGCAACTGATAAAGCTAGTGCTAAACAGAAGAAGTGCAAACAAAAAAAATTACAAGGAAAATGTTTTTTTCCTAGAGAACTGATTGTTTTAGAGACTTGATGCTATTGAACTGGTTGAGAAATGTCTTCAGCCTTGCAGCCTAGATCAGGGATTCTTTCTATCTCGGTTTACTGGTCCAATAATAATAATAGCCTTAGTAACTGTTTAAGAGAAAATGACAGCCCTTCACATAGCTATTGGTATTGTTGGGCAGTTTAGAAGAGATCAATGAAACAACTGCAAGAGCAGTGTACATACAGCAGCCAGTCTCAGGAGGCCACTGGCGGCATGGCTGGAAATCCCAAGTCTGCACATACTACCTACAGCCACGCGCATTTATATTACTATATGCAATAAATATGTTGTGGGTGGTGGTATTCCCCTAGGGTGTAACCTCTCCTAAACTGAAGAGAATTAGGACAAAAGGTAGCAAGTTTGAAAATCCCCTGGTGCCGAGATGAATTTCAAAGCCCGTCTCTGAAAACAATTCAGTTTTCCTAGCTGTTCAACCTACTAGAGAAATCACTGTGTTTGCTGTGAATATGGAGCCCTGTCTTAACTACTGCTGAAGTTAGTGAAAGGGATTATTACCATTTATTCAGAGCTTTTAACAAAATACTGCACATGAAATGAAAAGTGGGGCTGTCTGTGCCTGTAGAACTGGTTTGAATGAGATGGAAAATCTACTTCACAGTGAGGGCACTGCAGCTCTGGGTGCACTTCTTTATGTACTTGGTACATAAATCTATTCTGTTGTCTTCCTTTGGAACAATAATAAGAATAATAGTTGCTTGAAAGCATTCTAGATTTTTCTCTTCAAATTTTAATAATGGTCGGTATAATCATGTTTTCCAAGCTGTTCAGGGGTTTCTGATGTGATTCATATTTTCTGTGCATGTGATACTTAACTTACTTATCAGATGGGTTGTGAGCATAGGTATTTACTTGCAGGCACTGAAATGATGAGGCATTAATGAGAAGAACAGGCACATGCTTGGAGATATGGAAGTTTTCATATGTGTCCTCCGACTAAAAGTAGTTTATCTGTTGCTATAAAAAATAAGGGGATCGGTAAGATGGTGGTGTCTTTACTCTGGCTACTCATTAAATCCCTTAGTATCTTTCTTCTCTTCCCTGTAGTGGTCTTTGGCTCTTTACACAGAGCATAACTACTTTTTTTTCTCTTTTTTTTTTCTCTTTTCCTTTTTACTTTTTTTTTTTCTTTTTTTTTCTGTTGTTGTTTTTTTGGCTTTTTTGTTTAAAATGTACTTGACTCTCTTTTCTCTCACATTTATAGGAAGATGACTGGAATAGTTTTGGGAATTTAATTCTTCAGGCTCCCCAAAGCCCAAATTTCATGTCTTAATTTTCTGTAAAGCATCTGATGAAATATTGTCTGACATTCAGATGAAAACTCACAATAACAACACTCAAAGGGAATCTTTTCAGGGAACTTTGCTAGCACTTGGCAGTTTTGCTGTGTACAAATTAGACTAAAATTGCAATACACAGTTACTTTTCTTTCTTCCATACCCTCCTAAACTAAAAAAAAATCTAAACTTGTTAGAACAGATCTGCAGTTTGGGTGGTCTTTAAACTGGCTAAAGCAGAGCTCTGCTTTCTGAGTGGTTCAGTACTATTTCTTTTCAGGTGTCACTCTTCAGCGTAGGATGATTCCTCCCTACATCATTAGT